ACATCTCTTGAATAGCTTTTTTCTTCCTCCACTTTCTTTTTTTGATCCATTTTAGTTTTGTAGAAAACTTTGGTTTGATAAGAAACTCAGATCACAAATTTACGTTGCTTTTATATAGTGACATTATGAACAAACTTTTTTGGAAAAATAATAATGCAGTAAATATAGTTTGGTACGTTGGTGGACTTCATAAAAGAAAATAGTCACTTTTTGGAAGAAGAATCGTTGGAAAAAGTTTTATCCAGATTTTAATACTACTTTATTAACTTTACATAAAAAGTGTCAAAAACAACAAATAAAATGAAATAAAATTGAATCTCTAAAACAACAAATAATAGGGAACGGATGGAGTATTAAACAACTACTAAATAAATTAAAAACTACTGCCATTTTCAATTCCAGAAGCTGAAATTGCGGCTGAAATAGTAATTTACTACACATTCTGCACCTAAAAACGAAAAATATCGGCAGAAGCCGACAAAAATCAAAATTATAGGCAGAAAACTCACGTGCCGTCGCTTAACCGTACACCGACACGTAAGCATCATCGTATTTTAGCAGTGTCGGTGAACCAGTCCGGTTCGGTACAGCACACTCACGTTGTTGTTTCAAGTTTCCACCAAAACAAAAGTACATGAGATTTAGACTGAAACAACCTTTATCTCTTTCAGTTATTATCACTTACAAACCTACCAAATTATTTTTCTTTATTGCGTTTTAAACCTACCAATCAAAAATCCTCCAAAAGGTGTGACTATATTTAATTTCAATATAATTTTGGAAATCTACAACAATTGAAGTAAGAAATCAAACGAGTGATTAGTGGCACATTTATGTTACATTGAAAAAGAAAAAAAGTTATTCCCTTTCATACAACAAAGCCTCTAATTTTGATATTGTGCATCTAAAATATCGTAGATTTTTGCAGGTAAATGGTCTCACCTGAGACATCTCACTTCCCGTCGTCTCCAATGGCAAAATACACTGGAACAAGAACCAGACCGGTCGTTTGTTTCTCCGACGTCGTTCTCTTCCTCGGCGGAGCTTTAATGTCTCTTA